CTCATGGTTCTTCCTCATTTCTTCTTGGTTATTGTCAAATTTCTCTTCCATTCTTTTTAGCCATCCTATGATCATTATTCTGAATTCTTGCTCTGGTAGGCTGCTTACCTCGGGCTCGTTTACTTCCTTTTCTGGTGATGCCTGCTTTTCTTTCATGTGCGGACTATGTTTTTGTCTCCCCATGGCCTCTCTTCTCAGGATGTCTGGTTATGTGGTGTTCCTTCTCCTGCGTTGATTTAAAATTTCAAAATACAAACACTACCTGGTACAACACAAGAGGCACTTAACAGGAATGTACTTACAATATTAATAACCTTTAGTAAAGGTGACCACTAGAGAAAGGCAACTTAGGGGATAGGAGAGAAGGAAGAAAGGTAAAAATAAAATAAAGAAAAATTTAAAAAAGTAAAAATTAAAATTAAAAAAATTTAAGTAAATAAAATAAAAAAAAGAGGGATAAAGAGATAGAAAAAGAGGGAAAAAGTAATGACAAAATAAAGTTGGAAAACTGGGAAAAAAAGAAAGGAGAGAGAGAGAGAAAGAGAGAGAAGAAGCAAACTAAAAGAGAAATGGGAAACAAACTATATATATGTGGAGAAAACTGCCATAGAACAACCACTGAACCCAGCCAATGCCAGTAACAATACTTGGAGATTAATACAAACTACAATATCCCCTATTATTAAGTAAGGCTATGATATACAGAAGTAAAAGATACAAACAAAAACAGAGTATTTAAAAAAAAAAATACAAAGCAACAATAACAACACAGTAATAAGCATAACAATTTCACTAACAAGCCTAAAAATTCACAATAATCAACCTTCACACAAACAATGCGAAAAGGATAGAGGGGAGAACAGTTTTTCTTTCTTTCTTTCTTTTTTTTTTTTTTTTTTAACTAGTTAATATAGTGCAGAGATTGGTATTTATACACTTGGATCAGGGGTTGGAACATAGGTCTATAAGTATAGTGAGAGTTTTAGCAGGGGGTATACAGAAAGAATAGAGGAAAAACTAAAGCCAGAAAGGGATAGGATAAACTGTAGACTAAAAGGGTAAAGTTTAGCAAGAGAGTGATGGTGTAAAGATCGAGTTGAGATAGGGTTGAATGATGCTATAGTAGAGATTAAAATAGAATGAAGGTTACTCCCAAGGTAAAATAAAGAAAAAAATAAAATGGTACTGAAGAGGGAAAGAAAAAAAAAAATTTGCAAAATAGCAGTAGTAATAGTGATGATAGAGATTGAAAAATGTAATAATTAAAAAGGTAAAATCAAGTAAGAAAAAAAAATCGTTTCTTAAGTAAAAGATATAAAAAATGAAGATTAAATAAAAGAGGTAAAAAATGAAAATAAAATAATAGTAAAATTAGCATAAAAATGTCCAGTAGTGGTCATTCACTTCCTCTGTTAATGTATTTGGCACTCCTGATTCTCGGCCCAGAAAGTCTTGCAGTTCCCAGCATTCCACTGCACCTCAGATTTGTAAGGTAATCCTTAATTTTAAGTAGACTATATCTTAGTTATTTGTGTCCATTTATTTTTGATTAATTAAAAGATAAAAGAAAAGAAAAGAGAAGGAAAAAAAAAAAAAAAAAAAAAATGGGGGGGTAGTTTGTAATTCAGCTCTTAGGTGTCAGTGTTACTGGTTTGACCTCCCAGTCTTTTTGGTTGCTTTGGCCTTCTTTCTCTATGGCTCTAGCTGGCAGGGTGCCAGCTGGCTCCCAGACTATCTCTTCTGGTACAGATCCCTTGTTTCCAGGAAGGCAATTTCCCCCTGCAATTTCCCCGGATATGCCCAACTGGGCAGTCCTTCCCTAGTATTCAGAAGCAAGGGGGTGAAGGGGATCAGGCACCAAGGTGTCCAGATGTTCCGCCCTTGGCGAAACAGCCGAGATTCTTAATGCTCTGTCCAGTGACCTGTGGCGTTTTAAAAAAGTCCCGCTTCTGGGGAGGATAACGTCAAACCCAGCACTAGGTGTCGCTGCAGCCTTCTTTGGGTGCTGCTCGCGGGCGGTAGTGCGCGCTCCCGGCTACCCTGAGGGAGGGGTTGGAGCTCCCCGGCTACCGTAGCTGCCTGGGCCGCGGGACCCTGGTCCCCTAGGCTGTCCCCGCAAACTCTGACCTTTCCGTGGGTGACCGAAGAACTCCCCGGATTCCACGCGCCCGTGCCGATTCGGGCTTCTCAGCTGCTTGATGGACCTCCCCGCTGCGTGTTTTTCCAGGCCTCAGGGATGCTCCTCCTTTCCTGGTAAGATGGCGCTGCCCTCTCTCCGCGAGAGCTCGCTGGGAGAGCCGCCGCAGCCGCGGCAGTGCTGGCCTCTTGGTCAGGAAATCCTGTCCAGCGGACCTTTCCTTACCTTCCTAGAGAATTCCGAAGCCCCTTAGCTGCCAATCAACATTCCCTGAGCGACTCAGATGCTGTTTCTATCTGTTCTGGGACCAGAGTCAGAACAAGTCCGACTGTTCGGTCGCCATCTTCAAGCTCCGCCCCCACAAAATATTTTCCTTTTCCTTTAAAGATTTTACAATGTACTGTAATCATTAATTACATTAAACTTAAATGCCTAATTGAAACAAACAGTTCTGAGACCGTTCCTCCACCACTGATGAAGACTGGGTGGAGGCAGGTGTCTGAAATAAGATTCATTTAGTTGTTGAGCTTGCTGGGCAGACTTGGTGACTTTGCCAGCTCAAGCTTCCTTCTTGTAAATAGTTAACTTTAGAATTTGGTCTCTGCTTTTAAATTTTTTTTTTTGTACCACAATTGTTACAATTTCATACCTTCCAATCAATAAACATAGACATAAATATTGTTAGGCGGGCCGATTCCCCTCTGATAGAAAGCAAAGCACCCCTGGGAAAAAAGAATCCCAGTGGCCACTCGGGGCAGTTTGCTAGCCATCAGAGCACTCAGCTTTAAACAAATTAAAGGTTTCTTTCCCAATTTTCCTTTGTCAGGGAGACAACCACACTCCTTCAGCCATTTGGGGTTATCAAAAAGAACATCAATCCAAATATCAATGTAGGGAATTTGGTTCGGATGCCCGGGGCTTCCATAGACTATCCGCCGGACTCCCGTGCAGGGCCCCATTTCTAGGGTCCCTGTTGAAGGCCAATCAACCCCAAATCTCGGCCACTCCAACTTACAGAGTCTTCAGAGAGTGAAGGCATCTACAGAAACACTATAGCCTTCACCCTTTTCTGAAGTCAGAAAAAATTTTTAATCATACATTCAAGGGGACTTAGGTGACTCTCCCTCGAGTTTCCTTGCCCCATTTCTCTCTTTCTTCCCAATCTATAAACAGTTAGGCAACAAATAAGTCCAAAACAAAGACGACAAGTAACATTCCTAGAAACACAAAAAAAACCAGACATACCACAGCATCTCTTTCACACTTTCACCCACTTGAACATCAAGAAACCAAGACCGCAGGTGGGGCGTCCCCCACTCCAGCCAGATCTGAGAACTTCTGGCAGCGTCCCGCCGTTCTCAGATCCCAAGCGCTCGCGAGCAACCAAGAACAAGAAATACTACAAGGAACAAATGAGGCCTCTACTTACTGGCGCCGTTCAAGTAGTCCGGACGACGAGAATGGGGCGTCTGCCCATCTGGGGGTCTCTAATCCCTCTAATCCCGGACGAGCCCCCAAATGTTGAATGGAGATGAGGCCACCCAAGAGGCAGAGACCCCTACCCGGGAAATAACTCCAACTAGCCAATTGCGGAGTCTAATTACAAATTTTATTGCAGATTCGAATCTGGGCTGCCGCCGTGGCAATGGCGCAGCCAGAAGCAGCAGCCATTACAAAGCGTCTCTCTCTTTTTAAGCATTCTTCAAACAAGCACATTCCAAACAAGGGGGGGGTGGTGGTGGTCTTAACCTTGTGATTGCATGCATCAGCCAGATGGCCTAATCTCCCTCCTTGGTTTGTTCTGCTATCTTAGCCTTGACTATCCCAGACTGCTGATTTGGTCTTCAGGTCCAGGAGGGGGAGGGAGTAGTAACTTTCTACCCTCTAGGCAAGGTCAGTAATTTTTCACTCCTCAATAACCAAGTATAGAAAACTCATTTAAGGAGATTTGCTGTGAAGGAAAGGAGAAAAAACCAAGCTGTGGGTAGAGCGGAATCTATTTTAAGCCAGGAGATAAGATAACATGTATGTATAGAGTTGGGATGATCCAATAGAGAAGGGATTATTCAAGAGTCATGTGGGAGAAGTAATAATTGGGTAAGTGTGTCTGTGGAGGAGAGGGGTAGGAACCTGCATGTAGGTGGAAAGGATGGTTTAGGGTAGGAGCATGCAGAGCTCTTTCCTGACCTGAGGAAAGGCAGGGAAGTGAGCTCAAATGCTGGTAGATTTGGTGGGGACATTCTCAGGAGGGCAGCATCTGAGACTGATAAAAGAGTGAGGAGGGGGCTTCAGGAGAGAGATGGAGTGAAGTGTTTCCCTTGGAGATTAAGAGGGTAGTTATGGAAAGGGTACCTGATCGCTCAGCAGAGCTAAGTGGATACTTGTGGTTTGTGGATATAAATTGAAAGTGAGACCATTGGTTGTGTGTTGTTTTCTAGCTGCACTCAGCTCCCTGGAAACAGTCATGGAGTTAATGGAGAGTTGGATTCAACCAGGGCAAAAGACTTGAACTAACACTTCACCAAAGGAAATATATAGGAGGCAAATAAATACATGAAATATGTTTTGCATCCCTAGCCATTAGGGAAATACAAAATTAAAACCATGATGAGATTCTATTACACACACCTTAGAATGGCTAAAATGAAGAATACCCATTCATTCAAGTATTGACGAGGTTTTTGGAAAACTGGATCTCTCATACATTGCTGGTTGGAAAGTAAAATTGTTTGGGCATTCTGGAAAACTGCATTTTCTTAAAATTTTAGAGGTACACTTACCATACAACACAACAATTACTCCTGGCATTTATTTTAGAGAATGGTAAACTTACGTTCACATAAAAACCTCTATACAGTGTTCATAGAAATTTTATTTATAATAATAAAATTGGAAACAAACCAAATGTCCTTCCACTTGTGAATAGTGAAACAAAGGTAATACATCTATACTATAGAATACAACACAGTAATTTAAAAAATGAACAACAAACTATTGATTCATGCAACATCTTGGATGGATCTTGAGGTCATTGTGTTGAATGAAAAAAGTCAAACTCAAAGGCTGAATACTGTATGATCCCATTTATATAACATTTTTGAAATGACAAAATTATAGAGATGGAGAAAAGATCAGTGGTTGCCAAGAGTTTGGAAGGGGCACAGGTTGGGTGTGTCTACAAAGAGTTGCCCAAGAGGACTCTTCTGTGACAAAAAACAGTTCCAAATCTTGAATATGGTTATGATTACATGAATCTATACATGTGATAAAATGTCCTAGAATTATACACAATAAAAATGTGTGCATGTGAAACTGGGTGAGATATAAGTAAGATGTGTAGTGTAAATAACTGTATTCTACCCAGGTCAATTTTTTGGTTTTGAAAATGTTCTGTATTTGTGTAAAAGGTAACCATTGGCAGAGGCTCGGTGACAGGCAGAGAGGAACTCTCTGCAGTAATTTTGCAACTTGTTGGTCTATAATTAATCAGATTGAAAAACTTGGATTTACTACCTATATGGATATTGCAGTTCCCAAGAATGAGAACAAGGTTTATGCTGGAAAGAAGATTGTAAACTAGGCATGTAGGCCCTGAGATAATATAATAAGCATTCACACAACCACCATTAAATTTAAATATTTATTAAAAATTTATCTTATTTGCTTCTAATATCTCTTTAAAATGAAAAAATAAAATTTTGCAGGTAACTAAAGGCCTAACTTTCGCTCACTGATCTCTTCAGAACATCTGAAATTGATATGCATTATTCTCTCACATGTATAACAGGATGTTTAAACAGCTCAGATCTAAATATCAAGATACTATAGATACTATATTTCTAAAGAGATAGGAGATATCATGCTGAATTTAAATACGAGATTTCTGATAATTGGTTACCAACTCTTATGCCATCATCCATATCAAAGCTGTGAGCAATTAGAATTGAAGTTTTATATGAGGCATAAAACATTGAGTTTAATTTAAAGATAAGCCATCTCTCCTGCTCCAATGTGGCCTTTTGCAGGCTAAAAGACTTGTCCAAAAGAGGGTGCATTCTTTTGTTTCTCCCTTCCCACTTCCTCCAACCCTTGTCCTTGTTCCACTGGCCTGTTGTTTTTAGATGCGGTTTCCGACCCTGTAGGGTTGGACATATCCTAGATTCATTGTCAGGAGAGCAGGAATTTCCTCTTTGGTTTGTCCTGCTTGGGTGACCTTGCTGGCGATGTCTGGACTTGACAGTATTGTAGAGCTGACTCTAACTCATTTTGCAAAACTTATGCCAACCCCCGACACTATAAAGCTACAAGAGACATGGCTCATTACTCACTGCACTTTAGCCAATGATCCATTAAAAATTTTTTTTTTAAAATTTATTTCAGAGAGAGGAAAAGAGAGGGAGAGAGAAATAGAAACATCAGTGATGAGAGAAAATCATTCATTGGCTGTCTCGTACATGCTCTCCACTGAGGACTGAGACTCCAACCTGAGCATGTTCCCTGACCAGGAATTAAACTGTGTCCTCCTGGTTCATAGGTCAACACTCAACCACTAAGCTACACGGGCCAGGCTGATCCTTCTTAAAAGGGATCTAGCAACTGTGACCATATATTTGGGGTGTCAAAGGGAATGAAACTTGTTTGCACACTGGTCATCATTTTCTAAACAACCTTTGTACTTTTATTAGCAATAACACAATAAATGCTTCTTTTCCAATTTCTATTTGTCCAGTTCTTGTTTATCTTTCCTTGCCTGTCTTAAAAGGTTGGTGTGGCTGGCTCATGTGACAGAGGGTACTTACTAGGTAAATTATAGTTATCAGTTCAAAGGCCAAGCATTTCAAGAAGCCTTTCCTGACCCACTTGCAAAGAAAAGCATTCAATAAAGAAATTCAGAGGCCAATTACATGAGAAATTTATTGGTAATGTCAGGAATGGTGGTGAGGCATAACTTTCAGATTAATGAGAAAAAGTAGAGCAGCCAGATTAAAAACAACCCATTTGAAGAGACTAGAGGATCACCGAAGCATTCTGAGGCTGAGGCTGAGAGAAGACTAGATACTTTCCAACCCTGGCAGGGCAGCAGTGAGTCCCAAAATTACTTCATACTGAACAGAACAGAGGCTCTCATCCCTGTACCAGACTGCTTCCTGTCATGTCCAGGGTTTCCCCAGGAAGGCTTTCACCAGGTTCATCCACCTCAGGAGTGTCCTGCAGAGCCCTCTGAAGAATGAGCCTCAGGGTGTGTCTCTGTTTCCACCATCGCTGCCTGAAGGAGCCAACGAAGAAGTAAATGATGGGGTTGGCACAGCTGTTGATACAGGACAGGAGTATTGCAATCAGGTAAAGACAGAAGACCGTCTTTGAATCACTTCGAAACCAGAATAAGAGGAACCAGATGATGCCGAAGGGCAGGCCACAGAGGAGGAAGACCAGCACTGTGAACACGATGGTCACATAGAGCCTGGTTAGTGGCACCCGGTGGGAGCCACACAACAGTCTGGTCATCAGGGCCAGGCTGGACCCAGATAGAAGCACAAATAACAAAATCAGCCACGCCACAGTGATGAAATCCAAGACTGAACACCAAACTTCATGCATATTGCTAATCAGGAAGCCACAGTAGTACCCTTCCAGCATGCTCAGCAGCAGGGACAGGGCCCAGAGCAGGGCACACAGGGCAGGGGACAGGTGTCTGGGACGGAGGCAGCGGTACCAGATGGGCCACAGGACAGACATGCAGCGTTCCGTGCTGATGACGCTGAGAAAGCCTAGGCCTGAGATGTAGGCAAAGACTGACACAGCAAAGACAAAGCCGCCCATTACTGTACTGTCAAAACTCAAGTCAAAAAGTAAACCTAGGGCACGTATAAATAGACAGCAGAGTAAGAGGAAGTCGGCCCCGGCCAGGTTGAAGAGGTAGACAGAGAAGGCATTCCTATGCATGCGGAAGCCCAGGAGCCAGAGCACCACCGCGTTCCCTGCCAACCCCACCGGGCCCACGATGACCGTCAGTATTTGCAGAATTATGATCTCTGTATAATGTTGATGAACGGCCTGAACACTTCCATATGTTGTTGTGAGATTGGTCTCCCAGGCTGTGACAGTCATATTCATGCTCAGAAATGCTGCAGTTGTGGGCCTGGAAACGAAATAAGACTTGAGCACCTGCTCTGTGACCACTGATCCGTATGGCCACCCTGTCCATGGGGAATGGAGGATTCCATAAATTAAGATTCTCCCTGAAACACACAGTCTTGGAGTCCTGGAGCCTGAATTTAAACCCAGTTCTCACTGAATCCTACAGCCTGGGCTCGTTATACTGCAACACAGACCCTCCAGGTACAACTTCTCCACTCACCATCCAACCCATGACATGTACCGTGGAGGCAGGAGAAGAGTCTGCTCAGGTCTTGTGGAGGACAACAGGGTTCTGAGTTCCTCAGTATTTGTGCTCTGGGAGAGTGGCTTTCATTTGACAGCAGGCTCAGTAACTGTGAGTTGTCTACTCACCAGGGAGAAAGGATGTTATGACTTAGGCTCATGAAGGGAATGAGACCCCATGTTAGGGCAGAGTGAGGACACCCAAAGCTCTTGCATTAGAATGTCCCAGTGTGTCGTCTTTATGAGGATAGACAGTGATTACTCTTTTCATTGTTGAGTCTCCAGGGCCCAAGTCTGTGTGGGGACACAATGGGGCTGTCAATAAAATTTTAATCCACAAATGAATGAATGAGGAGCCAAAGGGAGGAAGAAAATTTGCACTTAATAAATATAATAGTTTTTTAATGAAGAATTTTAAATGTACTAGTAAAACAGAAGTCAGCACTTTTAACTCCACCACCCAAAAACATATATGTAACAAAAACAAAATTCCATTTCTAAGTATTCACTCTGTGAAAAGCTCTCGTGTGTTTGAAAGAATATTTTTATGTCTGTAGACATCTCCTATCCAGGTGGGAGAGGATTCAAGACTGAATGAAATTTCTCTGTATTTTAGAGGAGAAAGAAGCTATTTTGGGAAGGAGAGAGACAGAGGTGGCCAAGGGTGTCAATAGATGTAGTTGATGCAGAAGTACAGAAGGGGCATTATTAACTGGTTTTCCTATAATACGTGTAATGGGAAACCCACTCATTGTCCCTACATGTGATTTGGAGTAGAGAGTTTTTTGCAGATCAAAGAATTGTGTAAGAGAATTCTCCTGGTGGTGGTGCAGGTATGAAGTGCTTAATTCTATTTTACAAAGGGCTTTGGATGAAAAGAGGGAAGCTCTTGCAGAACTGAGGTGAGATACACAAGCCAACTCACACATAGGTGAAGAGGAGCAGCTGATGAGTGGTTACCCGGTATTACCAATTTTAATCCCCCATGTAGCCCTATGAGGCCAGTACTATGCTTACTCCCATCTGACAAATAGGAAAAGATGACCACAAGGAGGTTGAATGACATGCTCCAGTTCTTACATGCACAAGTGGAAAAGCCTGGATCTGAACCCACAGGTCTGTGTCAGATCTTCCCCCATTCCCTGCTCCGAAGTCCCACTACTAGAATGTTATGTCCAGTACACATGCAACTGGTGAGGCAGGAAACAAGTAACTCTCAGGGACAGATCTCAAATGGAAGCTCATTTGTGTGTTTTATTAAGCTCGAATAGGCAAATTTGTTAAATAAGAAAGAAGTGAAGCTTATTCAGTGTGGAAGAAGAAGTGGGTGGAATCCAGCTGAGAACAGACCAGAGATTCCAGGAGTTGCTTCTTGCCTCTGGAAACACACAATCAGTCAATTCTTGCTACGAATTAGCTCTTTTAATCCAAAGATCACAGGGTGAACAGCAGGTCCTGGTCTCTTGGAGCACAGTCTGAAGCTTTAGCACTGTTCTTTGCCTCATGGTGGGATGAGCACCTACCTACACTCTTCATGTGAGCTCAGAACATTAGAGAAATGCAGGGGTGCAGAAAATGGTAGTTGGTCTAAATACCCATTTAGTTCTCTCTCACATAGTAATTCTGTGAGCTTTAGACTAGAAATTGGATTATAATCCTAGTTTCCATTCCCATTTGATGGCAGCATGTGACCAGGTGGTAGTCATTGGGAGGTGAGCACAAGTGATGCAACTAATTAGGTTGTTCATTTCCTTCCCCTCTCCTCCTCTGGATGGAATGCTGATGAGTCTGGGAGCCCTGCATGAGAATGAAATCACCTCTCTAGGGCATGGGGACAGTGATTTGAAAGAGCACAGGTGTCTGATGCCTTGAAATCACCAGTCAAGTGCTAGTAACCTCTCACATTACTTTTTAGGGATACCAAAATCATAAATTGAAATTCTTAAGAATATTTGTCTACCACCACCCTGAAAAATAATGTACATTCCATCCTCAAGGCATTTATAATATGATGAGAGATATTATTTCTAAGATGTGATACCCAGGAGGGGGTGCCAACATTTCAAATAAATAAGATGTCAGAATAAGTCGATCTAATCACAATGAGGGGAAAAATGTCCTTTGAAATAGGACCAAGAAGAGGGTATAAGAAAAATGGATTCTCTCTATTTGATGTCAAATTTCCTTTTTTCAGCATCTCTATCCACTGCTGCATCCTGGGAGGACACATCTCTTTGCCTCACCACTGGGCTCCCTTTCCCTCTGCCTCCTGATTTCTTTCAGGAAAGGTGACACTGACAGCTGATTGGAGGGCAGGAGGAGGATGATTGAGGTTTTACTCCCTGCCTCTCTGCTGTCAGGCTGTGAGTTTGCCATGGTGGTGTTACTCTACCTAAGGAGAGAGCCCCTGGCTGTGGGCCTTTTTTGAGTCATAGTGAAGACCACTGCTACAGCCACAGCCTTCCCTGAAACTTAACTAAACTTTTACACTTCACATTACTTTAGGTGTCTCATCTTGCTCATCCTTTCTACACATTGTTTTTTATTCAATTCTCTTCAACTGCTGTATTTGTTTATAGCCTTATGTTTTTGGCTGGTACAGGAAAGGTACCTACATATAACAAACAAACTCATAGAATAGCAAGGTAATGTGTGAAATCTGTGGTTACTAACATCAATTCAGGTTTAAAAGCAATGTATCTGAAGCACATAGGACCTGGATTGTCACAGCCTAAGCTACCAGCACCCAAAGCTTCCCTGAGGGAGCTTCTTGTCTCTGGACTCTCCTTCATGGGTGTTCATGGCTCCTTGCTTGCTACTCCCCAAGAAGCACTCATGACCATGTGGACTAAGAGAGAGAAAACAGAATTGCCTTTAGAGAAGATAGTTCTGAGCTGACTCTTACCTGAGCACCATCTTCTGGTTGAAGGTGGTGAGTGGAAAAAGAGGAGCTTTCCAGGGAGTGCTGAACACCAGAGAATGCTCTTCTACCCCAGATAGGAGGAGTCTGCAGGAGCAGGAGTGGAATCTGATGACCAAGAGGCTTATCAAGATGCTGGGCTGCCAATGTGACTTCCTGCACAAGGGGCAATGGCAAGTGACAATCTGTAGATGTGAGACAAGGGCCTCATGAGTTGCTCCAAATTTGCCCTGAGTGCAATGTCTTATCTCTTCTCTCTTCCCATCTTACCCTCTCTGGTTCTCCTCCTCTAACAAATGTTCAAACTAGAGTCTGTCACTGCCCACTGTGGGAGTGTGCAGGAAGCCCACCCAATAGGCAATATGAGCTTCCATAGCTAAAGTGAGTTTCCTTGGCATTCAGTGCCATGCATGATTGAGCTCATGTGATCTGTTTCCATTTATTCCCAGGTGTAATGTATGCACATTAGTTTATTTCAGAGGACACAAGTGTATCCTATATAATAAAGAAATAATATGCAAATTGCCTATCACTCCAACACACAAGATAGCTTTTCCATGTGGTCAGTGTTGGCTGACCCCATGTGGACACAGGATGGCTGCCACAGATGGCCAGGAGGAGAGGACAGTTGTGAGCAATCAGGCCAGCAGGAGAGGTCAGTTAAGAGAATCCCAGGCCTGCAGGGAGGGCAGGTGTTGGGTACCAGGCCAGCAGGGGAGAGCAGTTAGGGGTGACCAGGTTGGCAAAGGAGGGCAGTTAGGGGTAACGTGGCCAGCAGGGGAGGACAGTGAGGGGTCACCCTGCCAGCAGGGAAGGGAAGTTAGGGGCAATCGGGCTGGCAGGGGAGCAGTTAGGTATGGATCAGGCTGGCAGGGGAGTTGTTAGGGGGTGATCAGGCTGGTAGGCAGAAACAGTTAGGGGCAATTTGGCAGGCAGGCAGGCTAGTGGTTGGGAGTCAGCAGTCCTGGATTGTGAGAAGGACTTTCAAATGCTCGTTTAGGCCTGATTCTACAGAGATCTTGCCTAAACCACCAGTTGGACATCCTCCCAGGAGTCCCAGAAGGAAGAGGTGGAGGCTGGGCTGAGGGACACCACTCCCCTCTCCCTGTGCACAAATTTCATGCACCCAACCTCTCTTAGTTTATAATACTGTTTTGTATATTGGGAAGTGGCCAAGTTAGTAAATCTTAAAGATTCTCATCACAAAAGAACAAAAAGTATCTATGTGTGGCAATGGATGTTAACTAGGCATAGTGCAATGATTATTTTACAACATATACAAATAACGAATCATTTTGTTAAACACTTGAAACAAATATAATGTTACATGACAAATATGTCTCAGGAAAGCATGGCAAAATCATATTCCAAAAGTATACACACATAGAGTAAAGGAGCCTCCACTGAGATATTTTCACCCTCAGATGATCATTTATCTGTTATCCCAATACCATGTGTTTCAGGCCTCGAGGAAAGGGCCATTCTTATGGGATTGGCCATTCCAAGCAAGACGCTTCCTGAAAAGGGAAGTTGCTCCCATGGGAGAGGCTCTTTACACAGACCCACAGGGTGTGGAGATGCAGCCACACCCTGCCAGTTTAGTCAGCAAGTATGAAAACCTTTATCTCATTAGAAACGGGTCTCTGATCTTCCTATTTTTGGAAGATTTCATAAAAGAGTGGGAGCTGTGTAGGAAGTCTGCTGCCCATTCCATAGGGTGCTTTACACAGCATGTTTATTTTCTCAACTTATCTGGAAGTTTTACACTCTCTCTATTTTTCAGTCCATTGCCTTAACTCCTTAACACATAAGTGAAATTTAAAGAAATGAGTAGTTGCACCTTTTAAAGTGTCCACTTCTAGCACACTAAAGCAGATTAGGAGAAGGTCTTCTTTCTGAGCTGAGTAGCCCTGACCTTGCCTTTGTGTGAAGAAAAATGTGCCCCTTCCTTCCCAGTAGTCAGAGCCCTGCACCTGGATACAAAGTTAACCAGCGGATGGTATGTCAGCCCATTCCCCTCCTCTGCCTTTGTTTGGTGCAGTGGGCAAACCATACAGCTCACTCCAGAAGTCTGCCCTCCTCATGAACACCAAACACCAATACCTTAGGAAACTCAACCTCTGTTTCCATCCACGCAGTTTAAAGGGCTCTTTGACTGGATTATGATTTCTTTTCTCCCCAAAGACATTAAGCAGGTATTGTTTTGAATAGCGTTTGTTCAAATGTATTCCCATAACATCCAATGTTTTTGCTCACCTTCACATTTCACATCTCATGTCTTCCATTCCTCAAAGCACATTCTTTAGGAGTTCTTTTTATGAGAGTGTGTGGGTGGGAGCCATGCAGGACAGCTTAGGGCTGTGGAGCTGTCAGATAGGCACTCTGACTGGTGGTCCTGAGTGGTGTACTGTCTAGAGGAATGTTTGAAGAAGAGCCAGATTGACATTGCACAGTGTAGCCTGTGAAGGAGGTCCTGTCCTCCTGGAGATCAGTGGAGGCCTGCCTTCCATACCCTGTGGAATGACTGGTTCTCCCCTGCCTTGCAGCCACCTGAGTCAAGGGGGCAAGGCTGTGGGCAGGAAAACCTGGGCCTCTGTGGCTGAGTCGGGCAGCCTCGGGGACTAGAACATTTGGCCTGGTCGGAGCCTGGGAGGAGGCTTTGCCCAGTGAGGGCCAGCAGCACTGGAAAAGTGGATTGCCACTGAGCCAAACAGGCTAGGGCTGTTTGTTTTGTTTTTATGAAAGTTTAATGGTTTCCCCAGGAAGGCTTTTTCCAGGTTCATCCACCTCAGGAGTGTCGTGCAGAGCCCTCTGGATGTGTCTTTGCTTCTGCGATTGCTGCCTGAAGGAGCCAACAAAGAAATAAATGATGGGGTTGGCACAGCTGTTGACACAGGACAGAAGTAATACCTCCATGGGAAGGTGGAGGACATTAAAGTCACGTGGAAGCCAGAATAAGAGGAACCAGTTGATGCCCATGGGCAGGCCCCAAAGGAGGAAGCCCAGAACCGTGAGCACAATGGTCACATAGAGCCTGGTTAGCGGTACCCTGTGGGGGCCACACAACAGTCTGGTCATCAGGGCCAGGTTGGACCCAGAGAGAAGCACAAATAACAAAATCAGCCATGCCACAGTGATGAAATCAAATAACTGACACACGGAAAAGCTTATAAAATCTAACAGAAGGAAACAGATATTTCTATCCAAGATGCTCAGTAGTAGGGACAAGGACCACAGCAGGGCACACGTGACAGCTTACAGTTGCCTGGGGCAGCAGCAGCTGTACCCGATGGGCCATAGGACAGACTGACAGAGCTCTGTGCTGATGGCAGTGAGAAAGCTAGGGCCTAAGATGTAGGCAAACATTGCCACAGCAGTGAAAAATATGTAGACTTTATTGGGGACAAAATCTAAGTTGAAAATTGAATCTAAAAAATATATAGTCTGGCAGCAGAGGAAGAGGAAGTTGGCCCCCACCAGGTTGAGGATGTAGACAGAGAAGGTGTTCCTGTGCATGCGGAAGCCCAGGAGCCAGAGCACCACCGCGTTCCCTGCCAGCCCCACCAGCATCATGATGACTGTCAGTATGTCCAGGATTATGCTCTGTATAATGTTGATAAAAGGCCTGATCACTTCTATTGATTTTTGTGAACTCGGCCTCCCAGGCTTTGACAGTCATATCCATGCTCAGAAATGCTGCAGTTGTGGGCTTTGAAACAAAACAAGACTTGAGCACCTGCTGACCCTGCAATCTCAGTGACTGAGAGTGGTCTACTCACCAGGGAGAAAGGAGGTTATGACTTAGGCCTATGAAGGCAATAAGACCCCTTTTAGGACAGTGTGAGGACACCCAAAGCTCTTGCATTAAAAATGTCCCAGTGTGTCAATTTTATGAGGATAGACAGTGATTACTCTTTCCATTGTTGAGTCTCCAGGACCCAAGTCTGTGTGGGAACAAAATGGGGCTGTCAATAAAACTTAAATTCACAAATGAATACATGTATGAATGAACTAATGAGGAGTTCAAGGGATGAAGAAAGTTTGATTGAATATAATATAAAAATTTTTAATAAAGAATTTTTTAAAAATATATATCTATTTTATTGATTTTTCACAGAGAGAAAGAGAGAAAGATAGAGAGTTAGAAACATCGATGGGAGAGAATCATCGATCAGCTGCCTCCTGAACACCCCCTACTGGGGATGTGCCCGCAACGAAGGTACATGCCCTTGTCTGGAATCGAACCCGGGACCTTTCAGTCCGCAGGCCGAGGCTCTATCCACTGAGCCAAACCGGTCCCGGCAATAAAGAATTTTGAATGTAAAACAGAAGTCAGCACTTTTAACTCCACCACCAAAAAACACATATATTAAAAAAACAAAATTCCATTTTGAAGCATTCATTCTGTGAAATGCTCTTGTGTGTTTGAAGGAATATTTTTATGCCTGTAAACATCTCCTATCCAGGTGGGAGAGGATTCAAGACTGAATGAAATTTCTCTGTATTTTAGAGGAGAAAGAAGCCATTTAAAAAAATATATTTTTATTGATTTTACACAGAGAGGAATTGAGAGGGATAGAGAGTTAGAAACGTCGATGAGAGAGAAACATCGATCAGCTGCCTCTTGCACATCCCCCACTGGGGACGTGCCTGCAACTAAGGTAAATGCCCTTGACCGGAATCGAACCCGGGACCTTTCAGTCCACAGTCTGATGCTCTATCCACTGAGCCAAACCAGTTTCAGCAAGAAAGAAGCCATTTTGGAAAGGAGAGAGACAGAGGTGGCCAAGGGTGTGAATAGAGATAGTTGAGATTGAAATACAGAAGGGCCATTATTTACTGGTTTTCCTATAATTCTGTAATGAGAAACTCACTCATTGTCCCTGCATTTGATATGGAGTAGAGATTTTCTTGCAGATCAAAGCATTGTGTAAGAGAATTCCCCTAGTGGTGATGCAGCTGTGAAGTGCTTAATTCTATTTTACAAAGGGCTTTGGATGAAAAGAGGGAAGCTCTTGCAGAATTTAGGTGAGATTCACAAACCAACTCACACATAGATGAAGATGAGCAGCTGATGAGTGGTTACATGGCATTACCTCTTTTAATTCTCCTAATAGCCCTACGAGGGAGAGCTATGCTTACTCCCATCTGGCATAAAGGAAAAGACAAGCACAAGGAGGTTGAATGACATGCTCCAGTTCTCATGTGCACAAGTGGAAGAGCCTGGATCTGGACCCACAGGTCTGCGTCATTGTCTTCCCATGCCCTGCAGCCCCACTACCAGGGTGGTTTTTCTGGTACATGAGGGGGTAGGGGTGGGGCAGGAAGCAAGTAACTTTTAGGGAAAGTTGACCAGATTTTAACATTGATAAAGCTTGACACCATTGACCAGGGTGGAGGGGGGTTCTTGATTAAAAATTTTGTCTATATGGAGCAACAAAAATTTTCAAAGAATGCAAAAATAGTACTGTAATATATATTTATTTAAATATATCTTTTTGATTTTTTACAGAAAGAAAGGGAGAGGAATAGAGAGTTAGAAACATTGATGAGAGAGAGACATTGATCAGCTGCCTCTTGCACACTCCGCACTGGGCCTGTGCCTGCAACCAAGGTACATGCCCTTAACCGGAATCGAACCCATGATCCTCTAGTCTGCAGGCCAACTCTCTATCCACTGAGCCAAACCGGTTTCAGCCTATAATATATTTTTTTAAATTTCAACATAAATACAATTTACAAATATAATAAATAAAAAAATATGCCAAAGATTTTATTTTATTATTTTATTCTTTGGCATATTTCTCATTTGAGTGAATTTTTTTTAGTAGATTGCTGTCGTTGTTTAAAAGGTCATGAAAATTTTCACAGGAATTTGTTAAATTATATTTCACACATTAAATGGCTTTCAAAGTCTCAACACTTAATTGTGATTTTTCTGATGTTCATACTTTATTTACCTTAGAAAAAACACATTCAGTCGCAGCATTAGTTCCTGGTAAGAAGAGCACATATTCCACAATTCTAACAACTGATCAACAATGCGAACTTTGATAAGTAGTTCTCAATAATCACTTATCAACAATTATCTGTTATTATTAAAGTTTAACATTATAAAATTAACAAAAATAATATAAAACTCATATCCTGGCTAAAAAGCCACATGGCCGCCAAAAACCATATATTCCCTTCCCGTTCTCCCGCAGTTCCCTAGCTTGTCCTGCATTCTTTCCAAAAATCAGGACTTTTTTTTAAAAATTATTATCTGTGTACATATTTTAACATTGCCTCCCCCCCCTCCCCCTGCTACCATACATACCCTCCCTCCCTAGAGTTTTGTGTCCATTGGTTATACTTAAATCGGGACTTTTTTTTTAAATGCCGTGGGATGCGGGACTAATTGTTAAAAATCAGGACTGTCCCGCCAAAGGCTGGATGTCTGGTCACCTTATCTTAGGGTCAAATCTAAAATGGCAAATCATTTGTGTGTTCTATTAAACTGGAATAGGCAAATTTCACAAATAACAAAGAAGTGAAGCTTATCCAGTGTGGAAGAAGAAGTGGGTGGAAAACAGCTGAGAACAGACCAGATGTTCTAGGAACTTCTTCTTGCCTCTGGACAGACTGAGCCAGTCAATTCTTGCCAGATTCAGCCTGGGCAGACTCACCCAGTAGAATCAGACCCACTACCCTTCAGTCTGTGGGCTGCCACTCAACCCACTGAGTCAAACTGCTAGGGCTTGTCTTCCTTTTGAAACTCAAAACTCAGTAATGATGACTAGATCTGTCTGGGCTTTGTGTTTTTTCTTTGTTGTTGTAGTTCACTATTGTATCTTTGGCACTGAGCACATGTCCCTTAGACACCATCTTTAATAATATCATCCTTTAACACAGGAAGAAGCTGGGGCATGAATCTAAAGGGCCTATAGTCTGAGAGAAATATAGGTAATCTTCCTTTCCTACCCAATCAGGTAGAACAATCATATATAATAACTAGGTTGTATGCAAATTGACCATCACTCCAATACATAAAATGGCTGCCCCCATATGGTCAAAGATGGCCATCCCAATGTGGATGCAAGATGCCCGGTACAAGATAGCTAGCAGGGAGGGCACTTGTGGGTGATCAGGCCTGCAGGGTGGCCAGTTGGCAGGGACCCTGGCCTGCAGGAGAGGGCAGTTGATGGGAACCAGGCCTGCAGGAAGGGTAGTTGGGGGGAAGCAGACCAGCAGGTGAGAGCAGTTAAGGGCAACCAACCTTTAGGGGTGGGCAGTTGGGAGAGACCAGGCCAGCAGGGGAAGACAATGGGGGAAACCAGACCTTCAAGGGAGGACTGTTGTGGGTGATCACGCCTCCAGAGGAGTGCAGTTGGGGATGACCAGGCCTGCAGGGGAGATAAGTTGTGGGGAACCATGCCTATATGGGAAGGCAGTTGGTGGCATCCAGGTCAGCAGGGGAGGGCCATTAGCTGTGACCAGGCCTTCAGGGGAGGGTAGTTGAGGGTGACTAGGCCTGCAGAGAAAGGCTGTTGTGATTGAACAGGTTAGCAGGGAGGGCAGTTAGGGGCACCAGGCTGGCATTGGAGGGAAATTCAGGGTGTCTAGGCCACCAGAGAAGGGCAGTTGTGGGAAACTAGTCCTGCAGGGGAGAGCAATCAGGCCAGCAGGGGAGCAGTTAGGTATTTATCAGGCTGGTAGGGGAGTGGCTAAGTAGTGATCAGGCTGACAGGCAGTAGTTAGGGGCAAACAGGTAGGTAGGCAGGTGAGTGGTTGGAGCCAGCAGTCTTGGATTATGAGAGGGATGTCCCATTGTCTGTTTAGGCTAATCGGGCCTTGACGGGTAATAGGACATTCCTTGAGGAGTCCCAGATTGGAGAGGGTGCAAATTGGGCTGAGGGTCACACACACACACACACACAAACACACACCATGCACATATTTTGTGTATCGGGCCTCTAGTTTATGAATAACTATCTATGGTTTAGGATAAGAATTCTTATTGTCTCATAAGTAAATAATATATTAGAGACTTCACATGTATTAACTGTTGATGTTTATGAAATATTTGTCATATTTGCACCTGGCAGAGTCCTTTTCATTTGTTTTCTAATTTATTCCCCACTATGATGCTATGAGTAGAAAATTTCGTAGCATTTGACAATGAATTAACTGAAGCTTGGAGAGGAGAGCTGTAGAACCAGGACTTCAGACCTGGACTTGTCTGATTTGGACAGGGATTCTTTTTGTTGCAATGAAGATTGTAAAGAAAAAGCACTCAATAAAGAAATTCAGATCTCATGAGAAATTTATTAGTAATGTCAAGAACTATGGAGAGGTATAATGTTGGGACTAATGCTTTCTCTAAGAAAACCTTGAAAGACTTGATAAAAAACAACCTATTTGAAGAGATTGGGGAATCACTGAAGCATTCTGAGGCTGAGGCTGAGAGAAGACTAGATACTTTCCAAGCCTGGCAGGGCAGCAGTGAGTCTCAAAGTTACTTCAGACAGATCAGGACAGAGGCTCTTCATCACTGCCTCAGTCTGGTTCCTGACATGTATAGGGTTTCCCCAGGAAGGCTTTCTCCAAGTTCATCCACTTCAGGAGTATCCTGAAGAGCCCTCTGGAGAACCAGCCTCAGAGTGTGTCTCTGCTTCCGCCATCGCTGCCTGAAAGAGCCCACAAAGAAGTAAATGATGGGGTTGGCACAGCTGTTGACACAGGACAGAATCTCTGCAGTCTTGGAAAGGTGGAAGAAGGAAAGATATACATTTGAAATCCGGAATATGAGGAACCAGTAGATGCCATAGGGCAGGCCACAGAGTAGGAAGACCAGTACCGTGATCATGATGGTCATGTAGAGCCTGGTGGGCAGCACCCGTTGGGAGCCACACAACAGTCTGGTCATCAGGGCCAGGCTGGACCCAGAGAGAAGCACAAATAACAAAATCAGCCATGCCACAGTGATGTAATCCAACACTTGACACCAAACATGATGCACTCCCCAATTCAGGAAGCCACAGTAGTTCCCTTCCAGCATGCTCAGCAGCAGGGACAGGGCCCAGAGCAGGGCACACATGATAGAAGACATGTGAGTGGGGCGGCGGCAGCGGTACCAGATGGGCCACAAGACAGACATGCAGCGCTCCGTGCTGATGGCGCTGAGAATACTCAAGCCTGAGACGTAGGCAAACATTGCCACAATTGAGACAAATCTCCTAATTACTTCCCTGGCGAAATAGAAGTTGAAAATTGAAACTAACAAATATATAATATAGCAGCAGAGGTAGAGGAAGTCGGCCCCTGCCAGGTTGAGGATGTAGACAGAGAAGGCATTCCTGCGCATGCGGAAGCCCAGGAGCCAGAGCACCACCGCATTCCCTGCCAGCCCCACCAGGGCCAGGATGGCTGTCAGTATTTGCAAGATTTTGTCCTTTGTAAAATGTTGATAAAAGTCCGGATCACTTCCATAGGTTGTTGTGAGATTGTTCTCCCAGGCTGTGACAGTCATATTCATGCTCAGAAATGCTGCAGTTGTGGGCCTGGAAACAAAACAAGACTTGAGCACCTGCTCTATGACCACTGACCCTCATGGCCACCCTGTCTGTGGCGAATGGAGATTCCAGAGATCATAAATTGAAATTCTTAAAAATATTTGTCTACCACCACCCTGAAAAATAACGTAGGTTCTATCTTTAAGGCAGTTATGATGAGAGATAGTATTTCTAAGATGTGATACCCAGGAGGGGTGCCAACATTTCAAATAAATAAGATGTAAGAACAAGTCAATCTAATCACAGTGAGAGAGAGAAAGTCCTTGGAAAAAGGACCAATGAAGAAAAATGGATTCTCTTTATTTGATGTCAAATTTCATTTTTCAGCATCTCTATCCTCTGCTACATTCTGTGGGGACATAGCTCTTTGCTTCACCACTGGGCTAACTTTCCTTCTACCTCCTAATTTCTTTCAGGAAAAGTGACACTGACAGCTGATTGCAGGGCAGGATGAGGGGTAACTCCCTGCCCCTCTGCTGTCAGGTTGTGAGCTTGCCATGGTGGTGTTACTCTACCTAAGGAGAGAGCCCCTGGCTGTGTGCCTTTATTTCTTGGGTCATAGTAAAGACCACTGTTACAGCCACAACAGTCCCTGTGCTCTGTAAACTTAACTAACCTTTTACACTTCATGATGCCCAAGGTCAATAGCTCTCTATAATGACTAATCTTTAGGTGTCTCATCTTCTTCATCCTTTCTACACATTCTTTTTTCAGTTCTCTTCAATTGCCCTATTTGTTTGTAGCCTTGTGTTTTTGGCTGGTATAGGAAAGGTATCTACATATAACACAAACTCATAGAATAGCAAGGCAATGTGTGAAATCTGAGGTTACTAACATCAATTCAGGTTTGAAAACAATGTATCTGAAGCACATAGGACCTGGGTTCTCACAGCCTAAGCTACCAGCACCCACAGCTTCCCTGAGGAAGGTTCAGTCTCTGGACTCTCCTTCATGGGTGCTCATGGCTCCTTGCACGCTACACCCTAAGATGCAATCATGACCTTGTCGACTAAGAGAGAGAAAACAAAATTGCCTTTTAGAGAACATAGTTCTGAGCTGACTCTTACCTGAGCACCATCTTCTGGTTGAAGGTGGTGAGTGGAAAAAGGAGCTTCTGAAGGAGTGCTGAACATCAGAGAATGCTCTCCAACCCTGGATAGGAAGTGTCTACAGGAGCAGTTGTGGAACCTGACAACCAAGAGAGGCTTAACAAGATGCTGGGCAGCCCCTGTGACTTCCTGCCCTAGGGCCACTGGCAAATGAGATTCTGGAGATGTGAGATAAGAGCCTCAGGAGATGCTACTCACTTGCCCTAAGTTCAATGACTTATATCTTCCTCTCCCCATCTTACCCCATCTGGTCCCCCTCCATTGAGGAATGTTTGAACTGGAACCTGTCACTGCCCATTGTGGCTGTGTGCAGGAAGCCCACCCAAGAAGCAATGTGGGCTAATATAGGTAAAGAAGAGTTTGTTGACATTCAGGGCTTTCATGGCCCAGCTATTCTGATCTGTTTCCATTTACTCCCAGGAGAGAGAATGCATAACAGTTTATTTCAGAGGACACATGTGTATATAAACTAAAAATGTAAAGTCTCTCCTAATCTCAATCACCAATAGCAACCCATGTTTACAGTTCTCATTTAAATCTGTTACAAGTTATTTTATAGCTTTGTGTAATTGTAATGAAATCTCCTTTCTAGTTGTGACTTACCGATATCAACAACTGTGTGTATTGTGTTCCCTTTTAACAGGTAAAGAATGTGGCACACCACAGGCACAATTTATCACCTCTCTCTCTTTCCCCAAGACATTTGTTAGCTAGATTCTTTTCACATGATGTGGGGACAACCAGTCTTTTCAGCTTTAGCTCCTATGACTTCCTTTCATTTGCTCACGCGGTAGCCAAATTGAGTTACATAGAAACTTAACTATGAAGCATTTGAAACAACGAGAGAAACTTGTTCACTCATTTCTGTGTTTACCCAACTCTACTAGTACTGTGTGCCTATCCTGTGCCAGGTAGTGATCCAGGCAGAGAAGATTCTATTGACAAATGCTACCAGGGCAGTTGTGGGCAACCAGGCCTGCAGGGAAGGATAATTAGGGGCAATTGGGCCAGCAGGGGAGCAGTTAGGCATTTATCAGGCTGGTAGGGGAGTGGCAGTTAGGCATTTATCAGGCTGGCAGACAGAAATAGTTAGGGGCAATCAGGCAGGCAGGCAGGTGAGCCATTGGGAGCCAGCAGTCCTGGATTGTGAGAGGGATGTCCCACTGCCCCTTTATGCCCAATCGGGCCTTAACGGGTAGTAGGTCATTCTTCGAGGGGTCCCAGATTAGATAGGGTGCAGGCTGGGCTGAGGGACACACACACACACACACACACACACACATACACACCATGCACAAATTTTGTGCATTTGGCCTCTAGTTTTTGAATGACTATTTATGGTTTTGGAAAATTCTTTTTTTTTAACTTATTAAATATTACCTCATAAGTCAATAATATATTAGACGCTTCATATGTATTAACTGT